TACCATATTGAACATTCACTCTCTATTACCAATGTTGCAGTGCATATCATTTACAAGATGCACTGCAGCATCTCATTATGGCTCTTTTAAACAACACTCTCCAAACCATACAAACAGATATGAATATGTGAACAAGGAGCACAACAGGCCTTTAAGCCTGCTCTGCAGTTTAATAAGATCATGGCTGATCAGCATGTAATCTCAAATGTGCATTCTTGCCTATCAATTATAACTTTTTAATCCTCGCTTAAAAAGAATCTATCCATCTTTGTCTTAAATATATTCAAGTGCTCTGCTTCCATCACATTTTTAGAAAAAGAATTCCTAAATCCAATGTTTTAAATGGGTACACACTGATTTTTAAAGTTCTAGATTCTCCTACAAGAAACATTCTCTCCATCTTTACCCAGTCAAGAGTCCTCATGATTTTATGTCTAATCAAGTCACCTCTTAATCTTCTAAACTTCAGAAGATACAAGCCTAACTTGTCTAACCTTTCTTCATAAGACAACTTGCCCATTCTTGGCATTGGTCTACTAAATCTTGTTTGAACTGCCTCCAAAGCACGTACGTCCTTCCTAAAAGGTGACCAATACTGCGTACAGTACTCCAAATGTGGCCCCACCAGAACCCTGTGTAATTGATGCAAAACCTCTCAATCATTGTATTCAATTCCCCTAGGAATAAATAACAACATTCTATTAGCTTTCCTAATTACTTATTGTACCTGTATACTCAATAGTAGGACACCCAGATGCCCCTGCATCTCAGTTCTGCAATCTCTCACCAACTGTAATATGCTTTAAAATTCTTCCCCCAGAATAGACAATTTTAGATTTTCCCACATTGTACTCCGTTTGCCAGATCTTTGTCCACTCATTTAAAGTTTAACTTTTTGGAGTATCATATCTTTTCACAACTTACTTTCCTACCCGTCTTTGTGTCATCTGAAAATTTGGCAAGAACACTTTCTGTCGCTTCGCCCAAGTCATTTATATAAATTGCAATCAGCTAATGTTCCTGGACTAAGCACTGTAGCACACCACTCATTATATCTTGCCAAACTGAAAAAGGCCCATTTATCCCCACTTATCATTTCCTGTTGGCCCTCTTCTATCAATGCCAACATGCTACCCCCTACGCTGAGACTTTACTTTCATCAATAATCTTTGATGTGGCATTATTCAAAATGCCTTCTGAAAATCCAACAGTCCCACTTTTACACTAGGCTTATATTACATCCACAAAGAACTCTGACTGATGAAACAGGACTTCTCCTTCACCAAACCAAGTTAATATTGTCTGATTAACTGAACTTATCCAAGTGCCCTGCTATAACATCCTGCATAACTGCTTCTACCATTTTCCCTATTGCAGATAGTCTAACAGGCTGCATTTTCCATTTTTCTGTCTCCTTCCCTTTTGAATCAAGGAGCTACGTTTAACAATTTTTCAATCTAATGGGATATTTCCAAAATCAAGAAACTTCTGGAAATTAAATCAATGCATCAAATTTATTTGCCACTTTTGTTTTTAAAATAAAAACCAAAGAACTGCGGGTGCTGTCAGTCAGACAGAAAAATAGGAATTACTGGAAAAGCTCTACCTGGCAGCATCTATGAGGAAGGGTCACTCAACCCAAAGTGTTAACTGATTTCTACTTACTGATGCTGCCAGACCTGCTGAGCTTTTCCAGCAATTACTATTTTTTTGTTAAGACTATAGCGTTAAATCCATCATCATGATCTAGGCATTTGTCAGCCCACAGCTCCAAATATTTACTCAGTACCACTTTAGTGATTGTGATTTTTCTGAGCTCCTGCTCCTATTTCCTGGTTTTTGGCTGCTTCTGGATCGTTACTTGTATTCTCTATAGTAAAGACTGACACAAAATACCCTGTTCAGCTCATCTGCAATCTCCTTATTTTCCATTATTAATTCTCCAGACTCACTTTCTATAGGACCTATAGTTAACTTTGTTAACACTTTTAAAAATTATTTACAGAAACTCTTACTATCTCTTTCAGTAGTCTCGCTAGCTTTCTCTTGTATTTAGTTTGTCCTTATTTTTGCCGTTTTCTGCTACTAACTGCAGACGGTGAGTCCTTGGAAATTTCCTTGCAGATATGCTCACCGAGCCGGTGTGTTTGGTTGCAAACATTTCATCACCCTGCTAGGTAACATCGTCAGTGCGCCTCCGGTGAAGCATGGGTGTTCTGTCCCGCTTGTTATTTACGTGCCGCAGTTTGCTGGAGCGATTGGTATTACTTCTGGTTTGTACACAGGGTCTAATTCAATGTGTTTGTTGATGGAGTTCCGGTCGGAATATCAAGCCTCCAGGAATTCCCTGGCAAATCTCTGTTTGGCTTGTGTGATTATTGATGTGTTGTCCCAGTTGAATTTGTGTCTCTCATTGTCTATGTGTTGTGAGACAAGTGAGAAATTGGTTGTGTCCCTTAGTGGCTAGTTGGTGTTCATGTATCCATATAGCCAATTTTCTTCCGGTTTAGCCTACATAATGTTTCTCTCAGTCCTTGCATGGTATTTTGTATATAACCCCAGTTTTACTGGTTTTGGGCATAGGATCCTTTACGTTTGTCAGTAGCTGTTGTAGGATGGTTGCCGGTTTGTGGGTTACTTTGATACCTAGGGGTCTGAGTAGTCTCGTGGTCATCTCTGAAATGTCCTTGATGTACGGTAGGGTGATTAGTGCGTCTGGTCATGTTGTGTCTCCCTTGGGCAGATTGTGCTTTTTCGGTATCCATTTCTTTTGAAGACCCCGTATAAGTGTTCCTGTTCTGCTTTGCGTAGTTCCAGATTGCTGCAATGTGTTGTGGCTTATTTAAATAGTGCCCTGATGCAGCTCCGTTTGTGGGCGTTAGGGTGGATGCTAGTTTAATTGAGTATTTGGTCCGTATGTGTGGTCTTTCCATATACGCTAGTCTGGAGCTCCCTGTTGTTTTTGCGTTCTACCATTATGTCCAGGAACGGTAGTCGGTTGTTGTTCCCTTCTTCTTTTGTGACTAACAATGTTACCTAACAGGGTGACGAAACATTTGCAACCAAACCCACCTGCTCCACGAGCATGTCTACAACATCACCACAACCCAAGCTACGCATCTCCTCAAAAACTTTAAATTTCCTTACTCTTTCGAATATATCTGCGTATTTTGAAATATCTCCTTGAATGTCTGCTAGGGGGCGATATGGTGGCTCAGTGGTTAGTAATGTTGCCTCACAGCACCAGGAAACCAGGTTTGATTCCAGCCTCAGGTGACTGTGTAGAGTGTAAACATTCTCCCCGTGTCCTGTGGGTTTCCTCCCACAATCCAAAAGATGTACAGGTTAGGTGGATCGGCCATGTTAAATTGCCCAAAGTGCCCTGGGATGGGAAGGCTAGGTGAATTAGCCATGGAAAATTGCAGGGTTACAGGGATAGGATGGGGGGGTGGGTCTCAGTGGGATGCTCTTCAGAGGGTCGGTGTGGACTCAATGGACTGAATGGCCTGCTTCCAGACTGTAGGATTTTATGATTCTAATACATTGCTATTAACCTATTTTTAAACCTAATTTGCCAATTCACTTTAGTTAGCTCTGCATTCCTGCCCTCATAATTGCCCATTTTTAATCTTAGGAGATTCAGATCCATTCCTTCCTGCAAATTAAGTTAAATCACATTATGGTTGCTGCTCCCCAGAGGCACCAACACTATGAGATCATTAACTAATCCTATCTCATTGCTCAACACCCCAGTGTTTTAATCTCTCTGATTGTTTCCTCAAACAGCACGTTCTGGAACTAATCTCAAAACATTTTATGAAATCATCTATGCTATCTTTGCCGATCTGATTTTTCCAATATACGTGTACATTTAAAACTCTAATGATAATGGCCATGCCTTTCTGATAAGATTTCTTCCCTTACATTCCACTTTACTGTGTTGCTATTGTTAGGGGGCAAATGACTTTTTGCCTTTATCATTTCTCATGTCTGCTCAAAATATTTCTCTGTGGAACTTATGTTACCCCTCTCTAATGACCTCGATCATCTAAAAAGACATGGCCACAAACCGCCACACAAGTCATGCACAAGTTACCTCCTTTAAGATACCATCTTGTACAGCTGTGCCAAAAAAAAAATCACAATTAAATGAATAGGTTACACAGAAAAATAATAGTTACAAGGGATTTCAAAACTACCACTGCAAAGCCATACACCATTCTGACTTGAAAAATATTATTATTCCTTCATTGCTACTGGAGCAGAGACCTGGAACTCATCCTAAAAGCACTGTGTATGTAACTTCGCTATGACTGTAACAGTTCAAAGGGCTATCTAACCATGACTTTTAGTAATTAGGACTGTTGAATAAATATCTCTTTAGTTCAGAGATCCGGCCACTTCTTTGTCCGACTGATGCACAGTTGCTTCGTTCAACTTAATTTTGAAGATTAAGTCGAGTTGCTGTCGTTCAGTGATGTCAGACACCACAATGTTGAACTCGTTAGCAAACCATAAAATTGCAGAGAACCAATAATCGACCTTTAAGTTCTGAGGAAGGGTCACCGGACCCGAAACGTTAACTCTGTTTTCTCCACCACAGATGCTGCCAGACCTGCTGAGCTTTTCCAGCAACTTTGTTTTCGTATCGACCTTTAATCCTCGCAATACCACACCACCCCACCAAAGCAATGATGTTGACAGGGTCCTTCAATGGTCAGAGGTTTGCAGACTTATATGAACGGCGGACTAGTGGTCACCACCCAGAGTGAAGCACCCTTGGGGGACTTATGTCACCCATTGGCACACGGTGAAAGTTTAACTGAGGACCGAAATGAGAAAGAGGAGGGTTAGGATGATAAATTACTGAGTGACAGTCCAGTCATAGACAGCAGGAGAGGGGAGATGCTGAGCCCAAAGGGACCTGGTCCTAATGGCTGTGTGAGCCCTCAGGCAGCACTCAGCTGCCAGTCAGTACCAGCCCGGGGCTCCTTGTTTACCTGGTACCGCCCACGTTGAGCTGGATGATCTCCCCGGCGGCCGCCGCCGCCGATGCCGCCGTCAAGTTGGTGCAGCTCCCCGCCATTTTCTTCCCCCAAGCCCCGTCTTCCAGCTCCCTCTCGCACCGAGATCGGCCTGGGCTCTGACTCTCACACCGCCCGTCTCTCACTCCACATCACAAACCCGGCAGACAGCATGCCGGTCGGCACCGTCCGCGGTTCTGGCCCCGGTCCCAGGAGTTTGGGCCCAGGTGCTCACTAGCAGCTTTCAGGCAGCCTGGCTCCGCCCTGGGGCCTGGGGCCTGTCTCCCTTCGCCTCCGGCGCCGGCGCCTCGCTGCTCGCCAGCGCCCCCCAGCAGCTCCTGCGCGCATGTATGCCACCTTTCCCTTCAGCCTGTCCATCTTCATCTAGCTGCACGTACCACTCTCTATTTCAGTTTCATCCAAAAATTTCACCAAGTGTTGTTTATATTCACTATGGTCTTTTCTGTGTTTTGTTTTCTTCACCATCAACCTTGTAAAACATTTCTTCCTATTGGATGGTGGGCTGACTACACATCAATGTGTGCTTGGAAAAACCCACTTTAGACAAAATTTATATCCAAATAAATAGTCTAACCATAAATGGTCACACGGGTTTGAATTAGATGTTACACATTGACACTGAAATTGTCCTGTGGTCATCCAATGAATTAGATGGGGCTGCAAAAATGACAGGTTCCAAATGATAGGCAGGATGACCTCCTGCTTTCTTCAGTCTGTAGAATGGATAGTCATTGAGAGACCATAATTTATTTAGATTAGTTCTTTGTTTCTATGGTGCATTGTTTTGTTCAACTCTAATACCCTAACCCCAACCTCCAAAACCCCTAGAATTGCACAGTTTTGCTGTGAAATGCGGTTGAAGATAATAGCCCCAGACCCAAAATGCTCATGTAACAGAGATCACTGGCAATCAGACTAAAGAGTGATAACTTAATTCCATTGAGAAGAAATCAAACCCACGCCTCCCAAATGGATAGAATTCTACCATATAATCCACAATGCAACCAGAAAGCTGAGTAAGTGAATGAAGAACAGTCACAGCCTGAATGAGGATGTCAACTTCTTGAGTTCATCAAGCCTGCATCCTCAGTGAACTTCTCCATAGCAGAGATACCTAGAAAACATACACTAGATGGAAGAAAATCTCAGAATTATCCCATGACAGGATAAGGTCGGTCAGTCAGAGTTTCTGGAGTGAGTACAAATTCCTTGATTATACATTCATTGCTAAGCATCTGCACTGGCTTGGCCATGTTCATCAAATGGTTGACAGACCTATACCTTCTATAATGTGAAGTAGCCACAGTCTCACAACCTCCTGGGAGTCCACATATTCACTACTAACATATCTCTAAACAAATTATGAAGACGGTAGACGGTGAGCCTTACAATTGTGAGACATTTGTCACTGCGCGCAACTTTTCGTGGCTGACTGTTTAGAAGGACACTGGAAGAGTTGAGAAGAAAGGAAATACTTAATTGGCCTAGTAACGGGGCCAAAGAAAGCAGAGACCAGCAAATTCTGCGAATTTCCAGTCCACCTTCTTCCTCTGCAGCAAATGTGGCAGAAACTGTGTTGTTAGTGGCACTTGACAATTGATAGAGAACTCCAAGAGAACAGATAACAATTGTTTGTTTCATACACTCAGTTAACAGTTAAGGCTTGCTCTGCCAAATTACTGAACTTCTTCAAGCTTTGTACAGATTACTGCATGCATATCACAATTTCCATATTTAATATCCACATGTCTCATATTATCTTTGTTTCGCATCATCTTTGTAGGCATTGTGCGTTCCACACCCAAGGCCTTTTATAGCTACTAACTTTTCAAGCCTGGATGCCTTGTTTGCTAATTCTTGTTTCACTTATTACTAACTAAAGCTTTAACCCTTACGAACTTAACCCCATCAACTATCATGTCATCACCTAGTCTAAACCACACCAGGAGATGCTTAACACTGTTGACTACCATGTGGCAAGCCATTGTTTTATGTTACAGAATGCTGCCATTGAAGGGGAGTCAGGTTGTGAAGGTGTATTGAGAGCTGAATCAGAATGCACTCTTCGGCTTTGGATGGTGACAGCGATCATCAAGCTTCTCTCAGATTTGGTGTTTCAAAGAAGAGTCATACTGAACTCAAAATATTAATTTAGTTTCTCTCTTCACAAATGCGGCCAGACCTGCTGAATTACACCAGCACTTTCTGTTTTTGTTTTGGAATTCCAGGGTCCACAGTGCTTTATTTTTATTTTGAGTTATACATATTGTCTTATCATATGAGACAACTTTGCTATTAAAAAAGTTGGCATCGTTTTTGCTTGTGAGCAAACACATAAAGTGTCAAAATGTCAATGTCCTGCAATTGTGGGGCATTGTCAAGATGAAAATTAAGCATAGCTAATTTGTCTCCTCAAATAAAAATCACATCCCCTTCTCATGAAGCCCATCCTTTGTAGATTTTGTTTACAAATCAGCCCATTCAGACATGTTATGATACTTGAACTCAGATCTTCTAGCCGAAAAGGTAAGGATACTACCACAATGCCACAAGAGCTCTTGGGCTATTATTTGAATGCTGCACAGCTAAGTGAAGAATTTGCTGCAACGTAAGTCCAGAACTTTTAAAGGTTTTGGGTAGTAAATCCTGATAACAACATTAACAGTGTAACTTGCTGCTTAGTTAAGACACATTGTGTAATATACAATTTAAATAAAAACAAGATAAATCAATGAAAAAGTAGCACCTAACGTTTTACTGAATGGCAATTAGTAGTTACAGTACTGAAACACTAAAACAAAATTTAAAAGAGTTATTGTTTGCAGTCTGCCTGCCTCAGGATGTTAAGTGAAAAAAGAAGGACCTTGCTTTCATATGGTGCATCTTACAACCCCAGCACACCCCAAACTCGATCACAGCCAACTGCTTTTGAATTGTATTCATGAGTGAAATGAAGGAAAATTTGTACAGAGAAAGTTTCCACAAACAGCAATGTGTCAGTGATAGAGGTCTACAGCACAGTAAAAGGCCCTTTGACCACTGAGTCTGCAAAAGTCAAAAATATGCACTTATCTGTTCTAATGCAATTTTCCAGCGCTTGGCCCGTAGCCTTGTATCCTTGGCATCGCAAGTGCACATCAAAATACTTGTCCAAATTAATTAGAGTTTCTGCCTCTTCCATTCTTACAAGCAGTAAGTTCCAGATTCCCCTGGGTGACTTTTTTTTTCCCTGCTGCACCTTATCTTAAGTCTGTGCTCCCAGTCATTGATCCCTTAATTAAGAGGAAAAGTTCCTTCCCAACTATCCTATCTTTGTCCCTCATTATTTTATACATCTCAATCATGTTGCCCCTCAGTCTCCTCTGTTCCAAGAAAAACATCCCCAGTCTATCTAATCCATTTTTTAAACTGTCCAGCCCAAGCAACAACCTGGTAAATCTCCCCAACTTCCTCTCTAGTGCAATCACATCCCTCCAAAAATGTGAATTCCAGGACACAATACTCTGGCTGTAGCCTAACTAATGTCTTATGCAGTTCCAGCATAACGTCCCCACTGTCAAACTGTATACCTTGATTAATAAGGACAAGTATCCTATACGCTTTCTTAACCACTTTACTTATCTATCTGGTACCTTAAGAGACTGGTGGGCGTGCACACCAAGGTTTCTTTGATCCTCGGTGATTCTCAGGGACCTAGCATTTATTATGTATTCCCTTGCCATGTTTGTCTTGCCCAAGTGTATCATCTCACATTTATCCAGATTGAATTCCATTTGCCGCTGATCAGCCCATCTGACCAGCTTGTCTATATGCTCCTGTAATTTAGTCATCCTCCTCACCATTTACCACTGTAAGAATTTCAATATCACCCATGATCTTGCTGATCATACCCTTACATTCAAGTCTAAATCAATTATATATACCACAAACAACAGGGCCTCAACTCTGTCCCAGTGGAACCTGACTGGACACAGGATTCCAGTCACAAAAAGAACCCTCAATCATCACCTTCTGCTTCCTGCCACTCAGCCAATTTTGGATCCTATGAGCCAAATTTCCTTGGATCCCATGAGTTCTTACCTTCGCTATCAGCTCCCATGTGGGACCTTATTGAAAGCCTTGCTGAAGTCGACATAGAGTATGTCATATGCATTGCCCTTATCTACATACCTGGTCAACTCTTCAAATAATTCAATCATGTTGATTAGTCATGACCTCCCCTTAACAAAACCATGCCACTGTTCTTGATTAATCATTGCATCGCTAAGTACAGATTCATTCTGTCCCTCAGAATTGCTTTGAATAGTTTCCCTGCTACCAATTGGCCTGTAGTTTCCTGGTTTATCCCTTGCTCTCTTCTTGAATAATTGTACCACATTGGCTGTCCTCCACTCCTCTGGCACCTCTCCTATGGCTACAGAGGAATTGAAATTTATTGTCAGAGCCCCGGTTATTTTCTCCCTTTCCTGACACAACAGCCTAGGATACATTTCATCTACTTGTGAGTCGGTCGGACCACTCAGAATCTCCTGTCTGTCTATGCTAATTTATTTAATTACATCACAGCCCTTCTTCCTAATTTCTATAACCACAACATTCCTCTCACTAGTGAATACCAACACAAAGCATTTATTTACAACCCTACATTTGTCCTCTGGCTCTGTGCAGAAATTACCACTGTCATTCTTAATGGGCCCTACTCTTTCTCCAGTTATCATTTTACCCTTAATGCACTTATAAAATAGCTTAGGATATTCCTTTATTTTGTTTGTCATTATCCTTTCATACACCCTCCATTTTGCTCTCCTAATTTTCTTTTTAAGTTCTCTTATGTACATGCTATAATCCGTTAGGGCTTCTTCTTGAGCGCTCAGCGTCTTCCATAAGCCTCCCCCTTTCTCTTCATTCAATCCTGTATATGCCTCAATATCCAGCGTTCATTGGATTTGTTGGTCCCACCGTTTAACTTTATGGGAAAGTGTTGACCCTGTAATCTCCTTATTTCATTCCTGAAAGCATCCCACTGCTCTGATGCATATTTACCTTAAAGTACAAAAGCAGAAATTGATGGAAGCTCAGCAGGTCTGGGAGCATCTGTGAAGAAAAAATCAGAGTTAATGTTTCATGTCCGGTGACCCTTAAGCATTAACTCTGATTTTTTTTCTTCACAGATGCTCCCAGACCTGCTGAGCTTCCAGCAACTTCTGTTTTTGTTCCTGATTTACAGCATTCTCAGTTCTTTCGGTTATTATTTACCTTAAAGTATCTGCTCC